ATGTGAGGCTCATAGAGTCAGTAGTCAGACAGCTTCATCCTCAAGTCACCATGAATGTCTGTGCAGTTTTAAATTGCAGTCCATCCAGATGTTATTACAAAAATTAGGGGCCCTAAAATCGAACTCTGAGGAACGCCACAAGTTCTTTCCAATTGTTCTACGTGTCTGTTCAGACAAATGCATTTCAAGATTTTTGAGAACCCGGCATCAGTGTAAAGGGATGAAACTCAGTAACAATCTTCCCTCTGACTCGCTCTAGTGTCAGGAGGCGGAGCTGCTGAAGCACCTGGCCGAGAGGAGGGAGCACGAGCGGGAAGTCGCTCAGAAAGCTTTGGCCAAAGAGTGTCAGGAGCATCGCGCCACCGCCAACATGGAGCAGCGGCAGATGCACCTGAACGCCTCACAGGAGAGGCTCCACGAGGAGGTGAGGACCACGGTTTTACACTGCGAGATGTTACCTTCATTTACTGAAAATAAAATCGGAACTCTGGAAATAAATCACTAAAAGGAGCCTGTGTGGTTTCTGTTTGTGTCTTTCAGGACAAGCACAGCGTGGAGGTGAGCACGGCTGAAAAAAGAGCGAATCTGGGTAGAAACTGTGAGACAAAAGTTTTTATTTTAATCTCTGTTGCTTCTTCTGGGAGAAAAACCAACTACAGAAACACTATAGACTCAAATAACGCAGTTTGCAGTAGCAAACATGCAGTCAAACCAAGGCTCCGTCCACACGTACACGGGTATTTTTGAAAACGGAGATTTTTCGTTTTAAAAAATAATCCCGTCCACACGTAAACGCAAAAATGAAGGAAAACACTGCTATGAACATGCCAAAGCAGCAGGTGGCGATATATTCCTACCCGTGTAGAAATGTTGGCCAATCAGAAGTCTAGAAGCCTCGTGGGAAAGAGTAAACAAAGCTGGGGCATAGAAGCAGAACCGAGTCGTATGTGTGGAGGGACAGTAACTGTGTGTATATGTAAGCATTTAAACACTGCAGAGAGTAGAATTAACAGTAACAGTATTGTAGAAATTCATTTCACCGAAACAATAACGTGGTGCACACTGTGACGTCAAAAAAGGCGCACACCTTTGACGTTTTCTCCGTTTTTCTCGTCCACATGTAAACGCAAAAACTGAGTTTTCAAAAATCTCCACCCTGGCAGGCGTTTTTAAACATCTCAGTTTTCAGTGACCAAAAACGCCGTTTACGTGTGGACGAAAGGTGCAAACGCATAGAAAAATCTCAGTTTTCCAAAAATACCCGGGTACGTGTGGACGTAGCCCAAATCACTGACAGTTCACGTTTATAAGCTACCAAAACTGCAGCATGGTGATAAAAATTCTCGTAAAAGATGGAAAAACATGACCAAGATTGGTCTGAGTAAAAACTCTAACAAGGCAAAGGTGAAGTCAAAACATCAAAGTCAAGACTCAAAGATAGAAGTAAACAACTCGTCAAACTTGAGACTCGTCAAAACACCCGGCACTGTGATACAGACAGACGCAGTTCACGAGGAAGGAACGTTCTGTAACAAGGAGGAGTAACCTATTAGTTACTGAAATGAGTTAACAGGTAGAGGTTATTTAGTTAGAAATGTCAAAATTCTTCTAATAGCACAGGGTTGGGAAGGAGCTGGGTTTGGGATACTCAGAGAGAAACTGAGGCAACATGAATATCTGATGGTCATTGTTGGGATATTGTGGTTGAGGTGAAACCTTTCAAAACACAAGCGGTGGCCCTAAAACCATGAATTATTTTACAACAATAACTTTTTAAAGACTGAAACAATGATCTCTTAGCCTTATTTCTGATTGCAGTGGGTAACAGTGTGATGCTGTGATCCAATTTTAACATAACAGCCGCCTGAGTAAGAGAGACAAGCTTAAAGGAACTTTTGGGGGGTTCTGATAGCATAGAGTTAGCGATGAGTGGGTCCCTGTTATAGCAGTCCATTTAATAGCTACTATTGTAGAGTCTTTACCTGGCCTTGAGGCGACTGCTGTTGTGATTTGATGCTATAACAATAAAATTGAATAGAAATTGAATAGTTGTTGGATCTCTGAAGAACGCCAGAACAACTTTCAGACAGGTTTCTCATTGTGATTGTCAGAGCTGCCATTTTTGACCAACCACGGTGAGACTGTGACATTTTGTCTCTTAACATCCACCGGGTCACCGATCACTCGTTCAGCGTTTGATTTGGGTTCTGTTTGAGTCACGTGCTAAAAAGCAATGATGTAACCTTTCCAAAAAAGCCTTGTTCAGTTATTTTGGCATGAAAGGTTTTCAATGTGGCATTTCCAGACTGTTCTAAACACTGAATGAGTGTTTGGACAGTAACCAAAGTCAAAGCCTTAGATTCACATGTAACAGGTTACCTGGAGGATGTGAAGAGGAGAGAGCAAAACTAACAAAATAATTGCAATTTGCAGATATAAAGCAGTTTTACTTTTACTGGATCAAAAGGTTCTAGACCAGGGGTCTCGAACTCCAGGCCTCGAGGGCCGGTGTCCTGCAGGTTTTAGACATCACCCTGGGTCAACACACCTGAATCAAATGATTAGTTCGTTACCAGGCCTCTGGAGAACTTCGAGACATGTTGAGGAGGTCATTTAGCCATTTGAATCAGCTGTGTTAGATCAAGGACACATCTAAAACCTGCAGGACACCGGCCCTCGAGGCCTGGAGTTCGAGACCCCTGGTCTAGACCAAACCAGAAAAAGGTGCCAGAGGTACAGAAATGTGTTTAGTGAGAGCCTGTAGCTCATATCCCTGCAGGTTTTAAGCTTTTTAATATCTTCACCACCTCCTCTTTTAAATGTGAGTGTTTGTGGTAACAACAACCTCCTGTTCTCCGCTCCCAGGTGTCTTGATGGCCTGATCACAACACAAGCTGAACCTTATTTGGAAGCCATTTTGGAGGGCTGATGAGCTGATATTTGATGTGCCGGGATGCTGGTGCTACTCCGGCGCAGAGACTGACAGGAAGTAGCTCTGAAAAGAGTAAGAGAAGAAGACGATGAGGAGGGCAGAGGGCAAGACCGACTGCACAACAACTCCTCTGTACAACCAGGACTCTCTTTAACAAGACGAACTCTTTATAACGAGATGGACGCTGCAGATTCAGTCGTCATTAGATGGTTTGAAGGGGTTTTACTGTGCTTTGTTTCCATGCCAACGGTGCCAATGTGCTCGTGTGTGTGAATGTGTGGGCCTATCAACCTAACATCAACCAGATCCATCCCCTACGACTAAAAGGAAACCTTCCTCTCGGACTTTGAACGTTAAAATTAACCGAAATGAAGGATGCGTGGAATTACAGCTGATCTCAATCAAACAGCGCCATCTGCAGGATTGTTTAAATCATTGCATGTGGCTCTTTAGCGACATCTAGTGGCATCTGTAGGTATAAAATAAGCAGCAAGCAGATCCATTTTGACCTTTAGGATCAGAGTCAAGATCACTGAAAGTGAGTCCAAGACGAGTTAGTGTTTCTGAGGTCAATTTAAGACAAACATCAGCAAAAATAGAGCTGAACTTAGTCGTAGAGGTGAGATTACCAACAATGAAATCACCGCTACACAGGAAGTCAAACCACACCCTAAAATCCCCAAACCAAAACAGCGCTGCCCTCCAGGGCAGCTCGTTTCACCCGCTCTTTTCCTACTTTTAAAGGCAGAAGTTCTAGGCGCTGTGCAGGGGTGGAGACATCACATCTTTGCTGTTTCACAGATGATGTGGTTTGGATCGCTCAGACTCGGTGTCTCTGGATATTTGTCATTAGTGAGGGAAGCGTGGCGCAGGAGAGATTGACTCCCAGGTTCTGTTGTGATGATGAGAGAGAGCTGAGCGTCGAGGCGAAGCCGTCAGTCAGTCTACGCTCCTGCACTCACCGATGGCCCCGAGCGGAGTGTGGTGACCGAAAGAGATGAGGGGGTGAGGACCTCAGAGTAGACTCACCCCAAAAAGAGTCAGTTGAGGTGGTTGAGCATCTGACCAGGATGCCTAATGGGCGTTTCCTAGATGACCTGTTTCCTCCTGGGCGTGTCCTACAGGGAGGAGACCGTCTGCGTGTTTGGAAACACCTCAGTGTCCCCCCAGAAGAGCCGGAGCTAGCCGGGAAGAGTGAGCGCAACCAAAAGATTAAGACAAATCCAACCGAAGTGCAGGTTTTTCTGTTTCAAACTCTGCCTTTAGGTTTGTTTCCCACCAGTTACGCATCTCTTTGTCTTTCCTGTGTGAAATGGACGCGACACAACGCTTCTGAGACATCGGTGGTGTTTGCTGCACCCTGCTGCATCGAATGAGTGACCGGACCGACGTGTGTACAGTGTTTACAGCTGCTTATCACTGCAACATCATTGTAAAGGATTATGATATGATGATGATAATGTACAGAAATCACATTATATTTTAAATTCAACAATAAAACAGTCACACTTTACTACTTGGTTCAGGTTTTTTATTGAGTCAGATTCTGGATTATAAATACATTAAGAGTCAATAAATATCTACTGAAGAGCACAAAATACTTAAATAAAACAAAATTAAATTACTTTAAACCATAAATAACAGAAAGAATATGAAATAAATCTCTGCTTTTAAATCTCAGCTACAGTGTGCGTTTGGTTGTGTAGTTTCTCCCATTTTCTATTTCTGGAGTAAATGTGAGCTGTTTAATATTAATAATAATAATAATAATAATATTCGCTGGAAATATACATAAAACAAAAAGATGGCAGGTTTAATGCTAAGCAGCATTTCACTAAGTCACTGAGATGAAACAGCAGACTGAAGTCAGTCTGTTGGTCATCAGCTCGTCATTCAATTAAATAAACGTACTCTGACAGATATAATTATTTAAATTAGATATTATCAGATTTTTGTCGGATTTTCGTATTTACATGCAGGTAATTCTGTATTTTACATGTATGGACCCCTAATTTAGTTTTCTCTCGACATTCCCGGTCTTCCGTACATGAGCCCGTTTTGCTGGTCCTCATTGCTGGATTCGGACCACAGGCTTGACACAGGTGCAGCCCACCGAGATGAGGCGGGACTCCAGGCGGTAGTGGTAGTCTGCCGACCCTTCTGGCCTGATGCGCCGCAGCAGCAGCACCTGGTGCATGATGGGTCTGGACTCCAGGTTCCGGTCTTCCTGGCCCTGTAAGTTCAGGCAGCCCTGCAGCAGGCAGTGAGCCTCCGACAGGAAGGGAGGGAACAGAGTGTCGTCGGTGGTGACGCTGAGGATGGAGAAAGCGAGGGGACAAAAGATGATTAAAAGAGCTCTGTAAGCCCCGTGATTAAAGGGCCATGCCACAGTTTGTCACTCACTTGTACGTCCATGGCGAGATGGAGGCGTTGTTCAGCAGCCTGGTGTGTCTGTGGGTTTCCAGAGTTTTGGCGTCCAGCTGCAGGGAGACTGTTTCAAGCGTTGCACCATGCTTGTGTGTCCTTCCTGTCTTCGGCATGGCCGCTGCCTCTGTGATCATCATCATCATCATTATTGCCACGACACAGGCGGCCTGAGGAAGAGAAGCCACAAAACGTTTATGGTCCCCATTTTCAGATAACGTCACTGTAAAAACTTTTTCTCAGTTTTCAACGAGATACTGCAAGATACAATTTCAAAATCCAGGGTTATCTTTAGATGACACTTTATATTGTAAGCCTGCAATATCAGCGATAAAACCAGAGTGACCGGAGACTGTTGTGAGGAAGAACGTCATTTTAGCAGGAAGAGGCATTTGGCAGCAATGGAGAATTATTTTTTTTCATAAAATCAACACGTTTGTAAAACTTGTTCTTATGATGACGTAACAGAGGACTTCCAGACAATGTTGTTTTTTAAGTGAATAAAATGTAAAATAAAAGAAGAATAAGGGACCAGTTGTTGTTTTTATGGCACCGTTGCATTACATGAGTGCCGAATGGAAGTTTCTTGTGTTAATTTATCAGTAACCCCCTGAGATTGTGAAAAATAATCATGACAAACCATTTCAACATTTGCAAGTTGTATAGCTACGTAATCATTTAATTTGGAGCTTCGATAAAGCTTTTAGTGGCGTCTCTAACAGCTAACACAGGCAAGCGTTTTCTTACCGTCACTTTGTTTGTCGCTGAAAACATGCTGCCGGGTTTCTCTGTTCGTTCTTCGGTCGGATGTTCTGGTTGTTTCGTTTTTGGGGTTTTTTCAGGTCGAGAAGATATTGGGTGTTTTTTTTAACCCTGGGGCTCTGCTGGAGGTTCAGGCTCTGCTGGAGGTTCAGGCTCTGCTGGAGGTTCAGGCTCTGCTGGAGGTTCACGCTCTGCTGGCTCTTGTCAGAAAGCGGAGGGTCAGGCTATGGTGTCGTCTTCCTTCTTGTTTCGTGGTGTTCTGTGTGACTGCAACTCGGAGCTGCTCAGATTTTTATGGTGAATGACACCTCCTCTCATGATGTCACCTTCTTTTCTCTCTCCCTCTTCTTTGATCTTCATCTCTAAACCACACAGAATACATGACGAGGCTTGAACGTCGACCCACTTTCGCGTTCGATCTCGAGGTTAAAGTTTTTTGGCACACAAAGAAAATTTGATGCAGATTTTTTTAGGTCAGCTCATCCTCTGGCGTCTCAGGTCTTCACCTTAGCACACGATATGATAATTCTTCATACAATTAAAGTGCATCTGTTTAAACGCTTCAAGACAGCTGAACTTTCGGTGCTCTGTGCTAAAGGCCTGAATCGCCCACACAGTTCTCTACGCCACAATTGTTTAATGTAGTAAATAATCCTTTATTATTTACAGTGAAAGAGCCCAAAGCAACACGTGTTACTGTCTAAATACTGTACATGTACATTCAGTGGCATTATTCCTCCTGATATGTCGTCAGCATCTGATTCCTTCAGTAAATATTTTACATTTATCTCTAAACTGAGTTTCAGATCGTCCATCTGCAGTCGGCTTATCAGCCATCATCTGCGGTCGCCAGTCTTTACTATCAAAGAGCCCAGAAAGATCTTCATTTTGTGTTTTATATAATGTTGTAACAAGCAAAATCCAGCCCTTCAACAGTCCTTATCATGATTGTAGATGATGTTATCACACGTGACTCCTTTGAAGTGGCTTTTTTCGATTATTTGGTTCTTTACATTTGTATATTTGTTACAATACGGCGTCTGTGTTGTGTTTGTGACATCGTGGAGCTAAATTTACAGAGAATGTTCTTGTTTTCATTATCAACAAAGAAGCTCGGTTAACACTTTGCAGACCAGTCTGAGTCCTACTCGTGTTTATACAAAGGAATCAAATTAAAATAATGAGTGAAAAGATCAAAGTCTCGAGCTGCAGCTTGAGGCTTCACAGCTGTCTGCTTTATACAGAAATACCAACTTGTTTTAGTTTTTGCTCTTCATTTTTGTTTCATTGTCAGTTTTAAAATTTCATGTTGTGTCAGAAATCTGAGTTCATAAAGAACCTGAAGATGATTCCTTTCTGTGTTCCTTGAGGCCCAACGTCAGGATCTGCAGATCTTCTAAGATGGTAGTTTCCTTCAAACTCCAAAGCTTGTTTCTGCCGCAGCACCCAGTGTGGTCTTCTGCTGCGTCAGCATTGACATGTCGTGCTTTCAGAGACCCTCCTATGCATATCTCAGTTTTAAGGAGTGATTATCAGAGTTGCTGTTGCCTTCCCTTTGGCTCAAAGCAGGGTGGCTATTCTCCTCCAGCATCAACAAGCATGTTCACTCAGAGAACTGCTGCTCGCTGGATATTTGCCCTTTTCTGGACTACTCTCTGCAAATTGTAGAGAAGCTTGTGCAGGAAAATTCCAGCAGTTTCTGAAATACTCAGATCATAAACAAAAGAGAAGTGGACGGAGAGCAGAACCCTGTGGAACACCACTTTTAATGTCTCGGAAGGATGATTTTTAAATATTAACAAAACCGAAACTTTGAAGGATTTCATGTCAGTTTAGAAACTCAACATGTCTTTGTTTCTTTAAATCAAACGTATCAAATCAAGCGAGAAGAGGTTAATTGTTAAATCTGAGTGTTAATCCAGTCTGACACACTTTGTTGCATCACAGCCTCCATAATGTTCCAGTATGACTCATGCAACAGTCCAGTGTGACATCACCTCATCCTGAGACCCCGTGAATCGTCTTCCTGCCTCTCCTCCGCCGGAGTTTTGAGATGTGTGTTTTGTTGCGTTGTCAGAGCTGCAGCATCAGCCATGATTGCAGGATGCGAGCGCGCTTCAATCTCTGACCTGATTTGCAGTCGTGTTGTGACTCAGGCTGGTCTAAAGTGCAGCATCATCACTGTTTTCTTCTGTTTTCTTGCAGCCTACAGTATGTGACCTGGTTTGATTGAAAGCTTGATGTTTATCAGTAATTTTCTGCTTTCTGCATCACTTCACAGCCTCGGGATGCTCATTATCATCTTAACTTTGTTCTACATCTGTCAATGAAATGTTCACACGCCATTTAAGGTAAGAAAAGGGTCACCGCATTTGAAACTCGTATTTAAAAATCAACCGCACAACTCTTTCGTTTTTATTTTACCCACAAAATGTAATTACTGTAAAAGAACATGGCCGGAGTAAATAGAAATAACACAACATGAATAAAATTAAAAATGAAGCTATAAACTACATGCTACTACCATGCAACGCTATCTGGATTTAATATTATCTGTTTGCACCATTTAGACAGGCCTTATTCCTCTGGGGGAGGTGCTCTTTGTAACAATTACAGCTGATGCTGGGAAATCAGGAGCACACCATTATAAATATATAATGTACGTACATGCATCAATTTATCTGAAGGTGTATGTCTGTCATGCACTGCCTTTAAAAGTGCATGAAACAAACATTATGTGTTCAGGCTGTAACACATCGCACTTGACTTTTGCAGTTTCTGCTCTTGCACATCTCTTTAAGTCTCACAGCAGCTGTTTCACCTGTATGAAGATTATGTCTCGAAAGCTGTGTGGGAAATTTCATGAAAAAGATCTCAGCATAGATAGCGTAGCTTCCCTGCACGATGCAGACTAACGTTTGCGATCTGTCACTTTTGGATTTGGCCTGAATCAGAGAAACTTGTGCTCTGGCTTCATGTTTCAGCTGTTGCATGGATTCAAACTTATAACAGAAATAAACTCTCATGCTAATGAAGTGCACCGGCTTCTCTTCGCACTCATCAAAGGCGTAGGCGACTCAGCCTCCATCTGCTCTGAAATCGTCTGCCTTCAATATCAACTTTCCGTCACCAAACAACACGTAGGAGGCCAAAATTCATTAGGACCCTCAAGTGACGTCTGTGGGTCGGATTTAAATCACATTTAGATCGGATTTAAATCAGATTTAAATCAGATTTGTCGCGTCACATCTTTTCTGCCACTGCGGTGTCCGTGTCGAGTGCCTCGTATGGAAACGTGTGATAAAAAACAATTTGCACATCAATTAGCATCCGTCCCCTCTTTCTTTCAGCTTTTATGTGTATGCGTTGAGCAGCATAGTATAGCGCCCCACTATGTTGGAGCTGGTTTATGCTCATCACTACCATTGTTTTCCTTAAATGGAGTTCAGGTTTCAATGTGTTAGATTTCACAAAAACGTGTAAATATTTCCACATGCAACAATTTTTTTCTGTCTTCATGAACACAGAAGATATTCAACTGATTGAGCTGATCTGTGTGAGTAAGCCTAGAGGTTTCTTCCTGTTAAAAGTTCTTCATCCCCACCTTCACCAAGTGCTGCTAACAGTGTTGGGGAGTAACAGAATACATGTACCGAGATTACGTATTTAAAATATAAAACTATGAGTAACTGTATTCTGTTACAGTTACCGTTTATAAAGGGAGAATGGACCGCCATACCCGTGATGTGTCTGTGAGCGAGGGAGGGAGAGAAAGGAAAAGCACGAGCTGTCACGGAGCAGAAACGGGAGCTGGAAACGGGAGCTGGAAACATGCAAATATAATAATAACCACTGCAGCCAAGAAGAGAGCCTGACGAGCCCAGTTGTAAGTAAGCTATTAAGACTCGACTGTACACCGTGTTCGTGTTTTCCTCTGAAACAATAAGTCCTGTTGGAGCAGCCTTTCAACGCCTCTCGCTAGCAAAGTTGACCCAGACAACAAAGCAAAGCTAGTTTTCAGCTACGAGCCCGACACGAACCCGACGTATTAGCCAGAGGTCCCTTTACTGCGGTTCGGAGCCGCGGACCTGTTTTATATACGTGCGGAATAGTTTTCTACACGAGATAGCTGCAAAAAGTGCAGCCTTACCTAATGTCCACCTACTGTTACTCATTCATATTAAGATTTAAACATCTAGTTGGTGTTGGTGTGGAGAGTAACCTTCAGTAAAACTAATAAATCACACAGCAGTAGTACATTCATGTAGTTGTAAAAAGCTTAATAATATATTAAGTAATCCAAAGTATTCAGAATACGTTACTCTCATTGAGTAATGTAATGGAATACGTTACAGAATACATTTTGTGGCATGTAATCTGTAATCTGTAGTGACTACAGATTACAGTGCAGTGGAAACACACTGGCTGCAATATGGGAACACTGGATTCTAAAATGTTTGATCTCATTGGGCTTCAGAACTCCTTGAATTTTAATCTCAAACAAGATTTTGGCTGTTCATGAATAAATGAGCGTGACTGAGTGATAGTGAAATGCTGCACCGATAGAACTCAAAGCAAAAAGCAAATCAGGTGCTCCCTCCATCAGCTGCATGCCTAATGAGCCAGCCCAGTTTATTGTGGTCTTGGTCAGTTTACTCAGTGTTTTTGAGTTTTTTACTCTTTCATGTTTCATGTATTGAAATATTCAGTATTTCTATTGTTTCGTGTATTTAGTCTGGGTCTTGGTCCTGAGTGGTTCTGGCATTTAATTCCTCTTTCAGTGTTGTGTTAAGTCTCCTGTATGAAGTTCATGCCTGTGAGTTTGTGTTCTTAATCATCTCGTGTCCTGCTTTGAAAGTTAGCGATCCTCATGTTTTGCTTTTAGCTTTGCTTTCGTTGTCGCATCTTCTGTGATTTAGTTCAGCTACGCCTTTTTCTCTCCAGCTGTCTCCACTTCCCCAAACTGCTTTCCTGTGCCTTCATTCAATTCATTTCAATCTACAGCTCGTGTC